GTGGCTGTTGCTGCTGCTGCTGCTGCACTTCGTGCTGCTACTGCTGCTGCTACTGTCCCTGCTGCTCTCGCTGTTGCTGACAATGGCCGAACCGAGTTAGTGTAGGGCATCCGACCGCAGCAGCAGCAGCAGCAGCAGCAGCAACAGCAGCAGTAGCAGATCTGCAGCTGAGGCGTGCAGCTCCCGGGTTGTCTGCTTGAGGTAAAGGCAGAAGAAGAAAAACAAAAAAAATATAAATATATATGAGAGGGTGCACAGAGACAGGAGGGTTTGAGGAGTTGCTGTTGCTGCTGCTGCTGCTGCTGCTGCTGCTGCTGCTGCCTTCGGTGTCGGTACCCGACGCTGCGTTATAGTGATGCTTCTTCTTCTCTTTTAAGGGGAATAAATAGTAAGACTCAACCAGGTGCATGCAGGTATATATATATTTATTTATATATATCCCGGCTTTTGCTGCTGCTGCTGCTGCTGCTGCTCTGGCTGCTGCTGCTCTAACAAGTCGGGTGGGGGGCCCCCAGGGGGCCCCCCTGCCGCTGCTGTTTTTTTTTAAGGTTTTAATACATCAAAAATATATAAAAACATTTTTTTGTCTAAATAAAAATTGTCCAGGATAAGCACTTCAAGATGTATATATTTTTCCTGTTGCTGCTGCTGCTGCTGCTACCGGTGCTGCTGCTGCTGCTGCTGCTGCTGCTGCTGCTGCCTGTGATATACTTCCACACAAAAAAAGCAAGATAGCGAGATAAGTGCAGATTTATACTTAAAAATATAATAAATAAATTAAAACAAATATATACATATGCATTAATACTGCGCCTTATAAATAATATCCTAATAATAAAATCTTAAATGTTATAAACATAAATAAATAATAATATATTTATGTTACGCACACACGAAGCCTGACCCCAATGTAACTTTGTCTTAGGGTTGTCTTGCGGTTTTTAATTACTGTAGAGAGTGGCTGTTACTTCGGCATTTGCTGCTGCTGCTGCTGCTGCTGT